AGATTCACGGCTTCTTTCTTTTTAAATTTTAGTGTGTGTGTGTGTGTGTGTGTGTGTGTGCGCGCGCGCGCGCGCACGTGTGTGTGTGTGTGTGTGCGCACACGTGCACATGCATGTAGAAGACCAGAGGCCAGCCATGATGTCATTTCTCAGGCTGTTCATCTTTTTACGGGACAAGATCTCTCATTGCTGCTGCAGCCTCAAAGATTCTCCTGTCTTCACCTCACTGTGCTGGCCTCCCAAGGGGGGCCCCATGCCCCCACTCTTTTATGTGGCTCTGAGGAGTGCACTCTTGAGCCCTCATCCTTTCTCGGTAAGTGCCGCCACCTCTGCAACCCTATCATAACTTCCTATTCTTTATTTTAAAAAAAGGCTGGCCTGAGGCATCTTCCCGACATCCATTCTGCCCACTCAGAGCATTGCCGGGGTCCTTGTTCATACAACCCAGAAAAGAAAAACTGAAAAAGCTAAAGTTTTAAACCTCTGTCCAAATCAAACTAACAAATTTTCCAGAATGGCAGACCCCAAGGAGGGAGAGGACTGCAAGCACTTCTGACTCAGAGCGGGGTGCTTTGCAGGCTTAACCCAAATCCAGTGAGCACATCACTTTAAGACCACCTGCGTCCGCAGGCTTGATTGCCTGGGCCACATCCCTGAGGTGCTGAGGCATTGATCCAGTTTCCACTTGAGGTCACTTACCTGCTCCCCTGAAGAGAGGTGCTCACTGGTAGCCTGCCGAAGGGAGGGCTGTGCTCTGCCTACAGCAGGTGCCTGATGAGAACTGATGAAGCTCACACTGGCCAAAAATTGCTTTATAGTACTCTGGCCCCCCTCCTTGTGCAGAGATCCTAGGAGACCAGAGAATACAGTAGAACGATTACATGTGGTGGTGTGGAGCCCGCTAACAGTGTGCAGATGTTTGTCTGTGTTTTGCCGAAGTCTGCAGCGGGCCTGCTACCCCACAGAAACCAGAAATACCTGCCCGTCACAGAATGTAAAGGCACAATGTAAAGGAACTTTTGTTCTCCTGGCTCAATTGCTGTCTTTCAGGCTTACTGCCTCAGTCCGCTAACCCAGGCCTAGTCCAGGAAGCTTCTAGCCTTTGTACAATCTAACCAGGGCCTAGAACGTTCTCTGCCTCTGAGACTTGCTGCTTAAAAAGTTCACCCTTTCTTGTTCTCTCTGAGCTCTGGGCTGGCTGGTTCAAGTCAGCTGTTCTGGCTCAAAGTCCTCTCTCAACTGACTGATTCAGCCTGCTCTAATCATTGGGCCCCTTCCCATTCTCTGGCTCTGCTTGTTCTCTTTTCAACCTGTCTCTGTATATCTGTCCTAGTAAAACTGCCTCCTCTGTCTCTGTCTCTGTCTCTGTCTCTCTCTCTCTGTCTCTGTCTCTCTCTCTGCATTACCCATTAAGTAGCTTTCCTTTCCTCTCCTTGTGAAAGTTGGGCGTATCCTATTCTGTCAAGTCTTTCTCTGATTGGTCACTTTTTCTGTCACTCAATTAGACATCAGTCCCAAGCATGAATATTACCTCTGCAAACTAACTTTCCCTTCTTTGTTTGGAATTAAAGATATGTACCACCACTCCTGGGCCTAATATTTTCTTTACCTGAAACTTGCTCTTTACTCAGATCTGCTTGCCTCAGTCTCCTGGATTAAAGACATGTTTGTATTCCAGCCAGATCACAAAACCTAGATCATTTGGGGATGTGATCTCTTGCCAGAGCAGCCATGTTCTGAATTAAAATTCCTCTACAGGAGAGGCAGGATCGTTGTGTGATATGAAGTGGAGAGTGTCATGTCTACCGTGCCTCAGATCCCGTGGCATTTCAGAAGCTGTGCACAGCTTTAAAGACGACGACAACCTATCAGGATGGCATCTCTTAGTCTAGACCACAGGTGTGAGGAGACCAAGAATGGCTGACGCTCTAAGCCAGTGGTTCTCAGCCGTCCTGACGCTGCGACCCTTTAATACAGTTTTTCATGTTGTGGCGACTCTTCCCCCACTATAAAACTATTGTCATCGCTACTTCATAACTGTAAATTTGCTTCTGTTCTGAATCATAATGTAAATATCTGTGTTTTCTGATGGTCTCAGGTGACCCGTGTGGAAAGGTCATTAGATTCCCCTCAGTTGAGAACCACTGCAAGAGGCTGTTAATCACTGTACTCCTAACAGCCCACAAAAGAGGCTTCTTCCAGCCCAACCTCACAAACCCAGCGTCTGCCTCCTGAGGCAGGTGTTCTCGGCCCTACTCGGACTCTTAGATGTTTGAAGGCACAGTGACAATTCTTCCAGGAACTGTGTGACTTTCAGACTTGGCCATTGTTGTCTTAAAAATCCATGTCCCCTCAGGCTGTATGAACTGATGTTAGATTCACCTTTGAGTTTTTAGACTGTTTCAGTTTTTTATTTGAATTTGTATTTATTGCCTCTCTCTGTTGCTTCCCCCTCTCTTCTCTCTCTCTCTCTGTATCTGTGTGTGTGTGTGTGTGTGTGTGTGTGTGTGTGTGTGTATAAGTACACACATTCTGTGGCATGGCCCACATGTGTAGGAGGGCAGAGAATACTTTCCAAGAGTGGGCTTTCTCCTTCCACCTTGTTGAGGCGGGGTCTCTCTTGCTGTTTCTGTCACACTGAGTATGCCAAGCTAGCTAACCCGTAAGATACTGGGCAATTCTTTGTCTCTGCCTCCCGACTCCCTGGAGGGATGCTGGGATTGCAGCCAGGAACCACCACATTGGCTTTTTGTGGGTTCTAAGCATTGAACTCAGATCATCAAGCTTAAGGAGTATTCACTTGTACCCACTGACCATCTTGTCGGCCTTGTTGTTTGGCTTGGTTTTTTGTTTGTTTTTGCTTTGTCTTGTTTTGTTTCATTTTTAAGACATGGTCTCTTGTAGCCCAGAATGACCTCAAACTCAGTGTGTAGCTGAGGATGACCTTGAGTTAATTATCTGCGTCCTCTACTTCCTGTGTGCATAGATTACAGGCATGCACTACCCTGCCCAGTTTATGTGGTGCTGTGAATCTAACCTAGGACCTTGTGTATGCTACACACTGTACGACAGAAGGCGCCATGTCTCCATCCAGCCCAAAAGCTCTCAAAACTTACCGGTGGAGCAGAGCTAAGAGCACTCTGTGTGTGTGTTTGTATGTCTTTCTCTTCCTCTCTCTCTCTCCTTCCCTCCCTCCCTTCCTCTTCCCTTCTTTTTTTTTCTCCCCCTCCCCTTTCCCTCTCCCGAACCCCTCTGGTGCAATCCCTCTGAGGTTTGTGTTTTACCCTGTGTTTAGGGTTTCCTCATGAAGTCACACTCCAATCGCCCAGGTGGTAGCTGATGCCATTCTACCAGCTGAGCTCTTAATACACCCAGCTCATTGCTAAGCTTTTGTAATGGTGCAAAAGGACTCTTAAAACTGCTGCAATCCCACTCTGCTTAAGAAGGACCCAGTCTAGAAATGCATCAGGCTTTTCATCATTATGCAAGCATCTGTATGTTTCTACAAGCAAAGACAGCTGCAGGGTCATGAGGCCATGTCACCTCCTGGTGCCATCATAGCAGAGCTTTGCAGACTGAGACCTCTTCTGCGGTGCCCTGCTGTATTCCTGTCAGCGTTGTCCCTTCATCCCAGCAGCATACAAGAGAAGTCTAGGGATGCAGCGCAACAGAGAGCAATTGCTTGGCAAGAATGAGGTCCTGGGTTCAGTCTCTGTCATCAGGGGACAAAATTATTTTCTCTTCTATTTGCTTAATTATGTGTATGTGTGAGTATAGGTACACATGAATGCAATCACCCAAAAGGGCCAGAAGAGGGTGTCAGAAGAGGGAGCTGGAATGAGGTGTTGGCCAGTTTTGAGCCATCCACTGTGGGTCCTGAGAACCAACTCAGGTTATCTGGAAGAACAATAAAGGCTCTTAACCACTAAGCCATCTTTCTAGCCTCAAGAATAAAATTCTTCATGTTGAAAGTACTTATGACATGTCGCTCTCCTCATTTTGTTGGCCGCTAACACAAGCTTGGCCACCGGGTTTGTACTACAAGCAATGATAAAAATGGTGCTACATGGGTTCTCAGCTTTTTAAATCTGTCCGACTTTGCCTATGAGTTTTTCGTATTGTGTGTCATAAGTCAGATAGTCTAAGGATAGATTATTTAAAAAAATGGTCCAGAAAACACTTGTATATAATCATTGAGAGGGGCTGGTGGAGAGAGAGCTCAGTGAGTGCTTCCTGTGTAAGTACTTCCTGTGTAAGTACGAAGACCCGAGTGAGCCCACTGAGGCAGGGTCTCTCCCTGAGCCCAGAGCTCATACCTTAGCTGGTAGAAGCCAGCCCCAGCAATCCTCAGGTCCACTTGGACCTAGGGTTACAGGCATCTGGGGAGACATGCGACTTGTTACAGAGGTGCTGGGACATGAACTTCAGTTCTCAGTCATAAAGCAAGATGTCTTAGCCTCAGAGCCATCTCTGAAGCTTTCCCCTACGCACCCTGAATTTGATCCCCAATACTCATATGAAAGAGTTGGGGCGTGGGGGTGCACACTTGTAATCCCAGCATTGTGGAGCCGGGGTCAGGAAGATCCCTGAAGCTTGATGGCCAGCTAGCCTAGCCTAACTGGTGACCCTCAGGGTCCAGAGAAAGACTGTCTCAAAAGACAGCATAAATGGCATCTAAGGAAGGGCACTTGGGATTGACTTCTGCCTCTACACATAAACAAACACAATATCAAAAACAGTTGGTTTTTTTAATATCTAATTTATTTTTATGCTTGTTGGGGGTTTGTCTACATGTGTGTCTGTGTGAGCGTGTCAGAAGCCCTAGAACTGGAGCTACAGACAGGTGTGAGCTGCCATGTGGGTGCTGGGAATGGAACCCAGGTCCTCTGGAAGAGCAGCCAGAGCTCTTAACCACCGAGCCTTCTTGTCAACCTCTTCTGTGAATTTCTATGAGCAGGAAAGCCAGACAATGACAGGATGCTGTCCTTTCTTCACTGCAGGTACATGGCCATCATCCACCCCCTCCAGCCCCGGCTGTCGGCCACCGCCACCAAGGTGGTCATCTTTGTCATCTGGGTGCTGGCTCTCCTGTTGGCCTTTCCGCAGGGCTACTACTCCACCACGGAGACCATGCCCGGCAGAGTAGTGTGCATGATCGAGTGGCCAGAACACCCCAACAGGACTTACGAGAAAGCGTGAGTAGAGATTTGCCAGCCTCGTGTTCCGCTTGGAAAGCACGCTGTGCTGTGTGGAGACTTCCTTGCCCTGACTTCTTCCTTCTCCCTTCTATATTCGCCTATCAGTGAAGATTTCCCATGCGTCTGCCTGCCCTTCTCACAGCCACTGTGCTGACACAGTGTCAGTCCAGCCACCACCGTCAGGGGACAGGACCCTCAATACTGTGAGAGACACGAGAATATTAAGACCTTGTTCCCATTACAGGTCCCTCTGAGTGCCCCTCCTCCTCTCTTGGGCCCTTTGTCTAAGATGCCCCCTGCCAGCATCTGTGTTTCTGCTGTGCCCCTGGGCTAGGCACAGCGTGATGGGAGGTGGGAGTGTCTCCACTCCAGTCACTCTCAGCGATGGCCTGCTCCTCACCCCCTGACACAGTCCCTCTGCAGCATGTGTTTCACGCTGTCAGCTAGTTCCTCATGAAGTCAAGCGGCCACTGCTCAGGTGAGAGCTGGTTCCATAGCACAGGTGTTATGTGCTACCTCTCTTTCCTATGTACCACAGCCCCAATCCCTGCACCAACACCCCCTTCCTTCTCCTAAACAATGTCACTGCCCTTGAATCTTTCATCTCATAAGCTGCCTCCAGGAAGGCATCAATCCAAATCCTTCTCAGGAGTTTGCAATGTGAGAAATGAGACATCCCCATTCAGATGAAAGCATAGAAGGCCTTTTAGTGTCTAGGGGTTACAGAGCACACACAAGCAGGCTTGTCTCATAGGAGGAGGGCTGGTCACTGACAAGCTTTCTCAAGATGTCTTGGTAGTTTTCCCTAACGCTTCTTGCCCTGGAGGCAACACTGAAACGCCTTCTTCTTTCCTTGGTTCTGCTCAGTTGAAGGGTGATGTGAGATTTCTATCAGCATCCATTTTGTGGACTGACAGCACAAGGGTAAGGTGGTCTTTTGGAAAACCCTCTGTGATCCTCAAATCTCAGGCTTGTTATTCAACTCAGAAAAAACACTGATGTCAGAGATGGAAGACCAGAGATTTTTAATTGTGAATTGCCACTAGCCGTATGATCACTGGCAAGGATCCCAGCATCTCCTTTCTTCTCAAATGGAAGAAAATAAAACATTGTTTCCTGTAAACAAGTGTCATTACTATCACATGAAATGATGCATATCTCACATTGTAAACTGTTAAATGTCAGTCGGGACTTATGAACCAAATTCATTGGATAGCAGTGTAATTGTGTGGCCTTTAAATTTACTAAATACTGAGATAAAACATGGTATCTGTCATGCCACTTAGATCTGAGAGTTCCAAAGTCTGTCACACAGCCACTGCGCTATATCTGCTACACAGAGCATAAAAATGTGGCCTGCCAGGAAGCAATGAGTAAGATGGAGACATGGCCCTCCAGACACCAACAGTGAGTCTAATCCATCAAGCGGTGGAGGCTGAATGCTCAGCCTGCAAAGAGACGCTATGAAATAAGCCTTTCTGGTGAAGCTGCAAGCCAGGTCTCTGTGATGCAATGTGCATGGCTCCACCGACTGAGCAGGACTCGGCCAGGTTTCCTCCAGGCAGGGAAGAAAATGCCTCTGGGCCAAATGCCTCAGGGACAAAACAAACAAACAAACAAACAAACAAGCTGGCTTATTTACAAGATACCTACAAGTTCTTCATTCTTACAACAAATTTAAAGCTGAACTCAGAATAGATTTCTCTTCCCACACAACTTTCGGGTTTCAGTCAATGAGCAGCGGTGCTTAGAGACTTGCTTGAGAACATCTTGTTGATTTGTGTTTATTAATGACTAGAAATTTCCTTCGAGACTCAACACAATGCACTGGGATTGTCATTTTTCCTGGTTCTGAGAACTCAGAGGAGGTGTTATGGGTTGTGTGGGCAGGTTTGCCGTCATTGTTTATTGTAGTCACTGCTCTGCTTTCATTCTCTGGCCAAAAGAAAGTTAGGGAAGAAAAGGATTCATTTGGCTTATGCTTCCAGGTCACAGTCATTGAGGAAACCCAAGGCAGAAGCTTGAAGCAGAAACCATAGATGAACATTGCTTGCTGGCCCACTCTTTGGCTCCCTCTTATCCAGCTTTCTTATATAGCTCGGGACCACGTGTCCAAAGAATGGTGCTTCCCATAGGGGGCTGGGCTCTTACATATCAGTTAAAACAATCAAGATAATCCCTATCAGACTGGCCAACCTGATAAAGACAATTATACAATTGTGATTCTTTTTGGGTGATGCTAGGTTTTGTCAAGTTAATGTTTAATAAAAATATGATAACCTAGGAAACATGACTCTGGATTATGAGCATTTGAGGTTATTTTCTCAAGAGACATATAACACGTTTATTTTCCAATATTAAGTTCAAAAGGTCTATTTGCCTGTCTTTCATACATTGACTGTAACACAGACATAATTCAGGAGCGTAACACAGGTTCCACATTAAGCACTGTTTTCTGTTTCCATAACCTCTATAATGTATTATGCTGTGTTTATAGAGATTTAAATTTTAACATGTTTATATTCTCTTCTTTTAGAACTAATGATTGTCCTTTCCACCATACATAATAATCCCAAAGGTGAGGCCAGATGGAAACTTTGTTTTGAGGCATTGTTATAATTAGGATGAACATGTTGGCCCCAGTTCCAGGGGAGATCAACTCCGAGCCTGATCAATTTCTAGTTCAACCATTAATGATCAATTCCTTTAAGGCTTCTATCCTGCTAGTATATCCCACATAGAAATATTGGAAGAAGTAAATGTGTAGAAGAATATTGGAAGAAATACTTATCAGTTTGACAAGATTTAGGACTAACATGAAAACATGTGAGGATGTTTCCAGAAAGGTTTAACTGAGAAAGGAAGACCCAGCCTGAACATGAGCTCCAGCATCCCACGGGCTAAGATCCAGGACTGAACGAAAAGGAGAGAGCAAGCTGAGCACCAGCACTCATCTCTTTCTGCTTCATGGTGTGGATGCCCTGTACCCGCTGCCTCAGGCTCCTGTCTCCATGTCTTCTCCACTGTAATAGACTTCCTTTCCTCACACTGTGAGCCAAAATACTCTTCCTTTCTTAAGTTGCTTTTTTCCCAGGTGTTTTGTCACAACAAGAAGACAAATTACTAAAATAAAAAGCAAACAACTCACATGAACTGTGGGACAAGGCTCCCATACGTGGTAAGGATCTGATGAATGCTGAATGCCGACATGAGCAACACTCATTGATCAGGTTGCCGGCAGGTTGATAGCATGCTGAACAGATGCTTAGGCTCAGTTTTTCATAGATTATTTGTGCTAACAAATTAATTATGGAGCGGTATTGTAAAAATATCATAAATGCCTTCTGACTAAATGGTGAACTTCCACCCCTAACCATTCATCATTCACACCCTTCTATAATACACAAATTCAGTGAAGAAATATGAAAGCTCGATTTAAAAAATAGACTAAGTTTTAAACATGCTTATTACGAAAGGTTCAAAACTTCCATTAGTGTATAAAATGACATTCAACTTAATTCAGCATGCATGAAATAGAAATTCAAACCATAACAAGGTCATGATACACATACTCAGACTACCCAATGTCTTGACTCAACTAAATGTTCTAAGTTTTGTAAAGATGGAGGCAATAAGAACTTTTGTTGCCTGCTAGAAAAAAAAAATCCAAATTTACACAATCACATTGTAAAATGTTCCAATTGTTTCTAGAAAACTAGAAATTATACATGCCCAGAAATTTCTCTCAGTGGTAATTACCCTAGCAAAGCTCAAGCAGCTATGAGCTAAGAGCATATAACAGCTCTCTCAGGTCAGAATTATGCTTACTCCCCAATTTCATATGGGATTTCATATGTCTACCAGTAAACTAATTTTTAATTGTATACCCTATATCACTAATAAAATCACTAAAATATAGCCCTATGATTGGCTCAGACAGAATTTTGCAAAAAAGTATAACAAAATGACATTCTTGAAATATAAAATTAGTTGGAAGGATGCTGAATTCCAGCAAGAAGTTGACACCCTCTAAGCAAAGTCCACAGTCTTTTGTGCAGAAAGGACAGTGGTGTGAGGGGAAGAGGCACCTGGAGAGCCCTGAGGGAACAGTGTAGACAGTGGTGTGAGGGGAAGAGGCCCTGAGGAGACCTAAGGAGAGAG